TCACCCTTTCTTAGTGCACCCAACTCAAAACACTTTGGTTGCACGAGGACAAGTGGCAATGCAACTTACTTCAGTCCAAGTTGAGTGGCATTATTACAGCTTAAGGCAACGATAACAAATACCACCCTTTCAGAATTATGGGATAAGTTTCCCTTATTTCTAAATTCTTTACAATGCTGGTTAATTGGGAATCCAACTTCATCACTTACCTTTGGTTTAACTCATTTTAGTTATGTACCTGAGTTCTGTTGCCGGAAAAAACATGTATATGAAGCATGCCATGAGCACCTTTGTATAGATTTAATCCTCAGACTCTCTCAACATTTGTTGCCTCAGACTACTGCAAGCATCCCGATGTAGAGATAGGGTACCATTAATTACTAGGGACAAGGTTTTTTTAAAATAATGCCTCACTGAATTTTCTTGTGGTGTGAATTTCATATAAATCTTAATCTGACCCAGCTAAGCAGTTCTGAAAGCAACAATCCGCTAAGACTTAGTGCTACTATAGGTTGCCCATGCCCTGGAAACCGTCCATTTACATTAGCACCCAAAGAGAAAACAGGCTTAGTCAGTTCAGCGTGCCCAAGGTTTGCAAACAGCAATTTCCACTCCGCGTTTTGTTTCTCACCTGCCATGGAACCAGTCCTGGCAAGCATCACACTCGATCATGAAGCGGGTGACATCGTAGGGCAGGCGACAGAGACAATACACTGGGACAGAGGCCATGGTGGAGGAAGGGGCTGCTCCAAGTTCAAGCCAAGGAAGACCCTCAGGAATCAAAATGATATCAAACTGTCCCCTAGGGCAAGCCGGAGAGGCTTCTCATGCCGAGGCCTGAAGGAAAAAGTCCTGTCCCAGCTGGGGTTAAGTGACGGTGAAAAAAAATTCATTCACGCACAACGCACCCTCGTCTCAGGCACCAACTTTTTGTGCAAAATGCAGTTGTGAGCCTCAAATCCGGCCGGCTTCCCCCCTCTTTTTTGGGCCCCGAAACAAAACAAAACCAGCAAGCAAAAACAACTGGTTAATCCCCCGCAGATCGCCTTTCCGAAGCCGTTTCGGACAAATCTCAAGGGCTTTCCCTAAGAATCCGAAATCCTCCGAAACATTCTCTCCCCCATAAAATAAGGTCGCGGCGCCTCCTCCCCGCTCCGTTCAGAAGTTTGCAGGCTCCTTTTCCCCTTCCGAGGGAAGGGGAAAGAGGGGGGTGTCCCCCGACCTCCCTCCCAAATTAAGGGGAGTCTCTCCGTACGATCGGCAGAGTCCGCTTCCCCTCTTTCTTCTCCCACTTCGTCCCCGGGGGGAAAGAGACCCTCAGCTCTTCTTTCAAGCCCAACAAAGCGCGCTACGGCTCCCTCGCTCTCCAAGGACGAGCTCCGTATTCCCTTCTCCCCGAAAGAGCGAAATCATTGTCTCCCTCCCTTCCTCTCCCCCCACACGACGATGCTCATCCGAGCTCCCCCTTACTCCCACGATCTTGTCTTTGGTGGTGGTGGGGGCTCTCCCTCTTTTAAATCAAAATGTTTCCCCCGCCTCCCCCCTTTCTTCTTGCCCCGGAGGAGCCGAAGGCGGACGCGAGCTTCTGCCGATTTCTCTGCACGCCAGATCCCGGCACCTTCTCCCCGGCGGAAGCGACAACGCCAGGACGGGGATCGAGGCCTTCCCGAAGCAAAGCAATTCCTCTAGGCTTTTCGACCGCTGAAAAGGCCTCCGCGAGGCCTAAGGTCCTGGGGTTTTCTTTTCCAGCTTCCCAATAAAGTTTTATTCAAAACAAGGGAAGGGAGAGGAAGGGAATAGAGGAGGGGCTGGCGGCCATCTTAGGAGAGGCAAGGCACGGGAGCGCGGAGAAGCCATCTTGAGAGTGGCGCTGGGGCCGCCAGACAAGCAACGTCCAACGACGATTGCGGCAGCCATTTAGGGAAGCGGGTCAAGGAGAGCGTTCCACCATAGAGATAAACGGGGCGGCGGATAGAGCATCCTCGGTCGTCACGAGAGAAGGCAGGATATTCGGGTTATTTCTGACACGGCGGATACTACCGGAAGCGATGGGAGGATCCGGGTTTTAGCATAACGCCGAGATGGAGGTGGGGGGTGGGGGTGTCCCTTCCAGAGCTCGTTTCCTGCCCTGGGAATAGCCGCCTAATCATCTGCGTGCCCGCCTATCTTTTCAAAATTCAGCATTTGTGTTTTGTGGGGGGAAATGCCGAGTTTATTTCGTGGGGTTGACGACTGCATGGAACATAAGATATGTATGAAACTGGCTCTGCGCTACAGGTAGTCCTCGACTTACAAACAGTCTACATTTAGTAACCGTTCAACGTTACAACGGCAGTGAAAAAAGTGACTCATTAACGACCGTTGTAGCCTCCCTATGGCCATATGATCAAAATTCAGAAGCTTGGCAACCGACTCATAGGTATGAGGGTTGCCGTGTGCTGGGGAGGTCACGTGATCCCCTTTTGCTACTTTCTGACAAGCAAAGTGGGGGGGAGCTAGATTCACTTAACAACTATGACACTGACTTAACAATTGCAATTATTCACTTAACTGTGGCAAGAAAGGTCATAAAATGGAGCAAATTCACTTCATAAATGTTTCCCTTAACTCCAGAAAGGTTGGGCTCCATTGTGGTTGCATGTTGAGGACTACCTGTACAAAGTGAAATGGAGCATGTGATGAAGCTTGGTGTGCGAATGAAGTTTAGGAATCTGCTGTTTTGTTTTTTTTTTAAACATGACTGTCTAAACGGGTTCCTATAGTTTTCTTGGCAACATTTCCAGAAGTGATTTGTCATTGCCCTTCTGTTCTTCCTAGGGCTGAAGGTGAAGCATTGGCCTCAAACTCAGTCTCTAGTTTCCTAGGAGCCTGGTGCCTAAACCAAGCTGGCTTTTGTGTTGCAATTATTTTAGGGTAAAAGGCAGAATGGGGTTGGTGGACAGCACGAAATTTACATTTAGGATTTTGTGTAATTTGGGAGTAAAAACATCTGTAAAAGCCTTTTGCCCAGTCTCCAACCTTTGCTTTTTAGGGAAGGTGGTCACGCAGCAGCTTCAGAAGATCCTCAGTGAAATAGACTAAGTGGACCCCTTTCGGTCTGGATTCAGGCCTGGTTACAGGACCATAATGGCATTGGGGGCACTTTTGGATGGGGAAAGGGGTAGTTTGTCCATCCTTGCTCTTCTTGACTTGTCAGCAACTTTTTAGACTTTTTAAGTGTAGTTTTCTAGATGGGCTCCAGAGGTTGGGTGTGGGCAGCACTGTATTATGCTGATTCTCTTCCTTTGAGACCAGTTCCAGAGTGCCACATTTGACCTGATTTGAAGAGTGCCTCAGGGTTTGGTGCTTTCTCCAGTTCTTCCACCATGGAGCAATGAACATGTACATGAAGCCACTGGGCAAGGTTATTCATCAGCACAAGATGAGGTACTATTCATGGTACAGATACCCAGCTTTTCTCTCTCTCAGTCTTCCCGTTTTAGAGACGTTTATAAAGAAAATAGTGGTGCTCCAGCTTCAAGAGAAAGTGGATTATTTAAACCCTTTTTAATCAAGGTTTAGGTAATGGCACCGGATAGAAATTACCTGGGTCACACTGATGGATTTGTGTTATGTTGTGTTGTGATGATTTGTGATTCTAAAAACAACACTCAAACCAGTTCTCTTCAATCAAAAATGTGCACTCGCTCATAAATACAGAAAAGAATCAGAAACAGCAAAGCATAACAAAGGTACAATTTTCTCTAAAACCTAGATTCCAATCTGCATCTAATTTCCTGTAATCTGTGGGTTGCTATATTTTTTTGCTAGATTTCTGAGGATTGGAACACTGTTGCACGAATCCTAAATCTGAGTTAGAATTGGGGCCTAGAATTATGTACTGCTAATCCTTATGACTGATAATGCAGTAGGTTTCCCTGCAAGATTAAAGTGCTATCTGTGTTTTTGAGCTGAAATTAAAAAGACTTTTTCCCACTCTTTAGGATTTGACTTCAAGAGAGTTTTCTACCCAAGCCAAGTATTCCATTTGTATTCAGTAACCATCACAACGTTTTAGCTAATTAAATAATTCATTGCCCATTACCATACAAAGATTGAGTTGAACTATAACCATTTTGCAACAGATTAGAAAAAGTGTGGGCCTAGTTATGACATAAATTATGTATTTGTGGTACTGTCTTTTGGACTGTATGTAGTTATGTCAAGGAATAGTAGACACAAGTAAATCTACAGTGGCATAATTATATGTTTCAGGCCAAGATCTGTTTTCAAATTTCATTTTTTTGTTCAACTGTTCCTTAAGAAATTACCTTATCCATGCTGATCATTGTTTTATGAATATATAAATAAAACCTAATTTCAGTTAATATGTATTTGGTAGACTCCAGGCAATGGACCTTTTCTGCCATCGCACTCATGTTGTATAATCTTCCCTCAGATGAAACATCAGTTTCATCACTCCTGTGTTTTTGAAGGTCCCTCAAGATCTTGTTATGTCAGCAGACCTAGGGACCTGGGTGAGCTAGTGAGGTGGGTGTTATTATTAACATCCCTCCATTTATTTTATTGTTTCTTTTTCTTCCAAAAAAAATTGCTTTTATAACTCTAATGTTTTACTTTTATTTTTAAATAACTACAATTATTTTCAGTAATGATTTTATATTTATTGTTTCATTGGATGTTGTACACTGCTGAGAGCCACTTTCTCTAATAAGGACAGCCATATAAATTTGATAAATATAATTCTATGTAATTCATAGAATACAAACCATAATGTTCTATGATTGAGAGAAGTAACATCTGCTGAAATTTGGCTACTGGCACTCTTAATTACTATTTTTTTTTAATGAAATTGATTTCTTCTTTGCATGTTACAATTTGGAGTTTTCCCCTCCAGCAGCTTCTTGTGAAGCTGCAGCTCATACCTAGTAGTGACTTGAAATGGGGGCCTCATTAAACAGAGAGTAAAACAAAAGAGACACTACTTTTTCTTTACTAAAAGAATAGACTTTATTAAGCACTGTAAGTCTTTCTCCATCATCAACAGATGAACAGCGCACCAAGATTCCACCAGCAAAAAACATTCCCAAAAGACACCCAAGCTTTCTGATCACAAACCTACTGCAAATTTCCCCTGATTTAGAGCAACCTGTCCAAACTTACACTGATTAAAAAACCCAACAATCTATGGAGTATGTTGTGGGGTGCAAGGATTGGGGAGATAGGAATTTGATTATCAAGATTGGGGACAGTAAAGATAACATTTATCCATCCACTAAGAACAGGTGTTAATTAGCATAAAAAGAAATATTTTTAAAAGGTAGAAGGGAATAATGTATTGATCATTAACTTCCCATATAAATAAAGCATGAAACTTGCAATTGACGGGATCACTAACAAGAAAAATCAGATTTACTCTGTTCAGCAAAATTATTGATTTGTATTTTTTTAAGCTAAAATCTTAGGCTAAACATTTTTAAAAGGCAATTGTGGAGAGATATATATCTGGTAAAAATGCAATGTCAAGGTTACTCAAGGAAAGTATGAGGGAAAAGACTGGCTTAAAATAACAACTGAGTTTGTTTTTACTTTTAAAAATCTCACTAGGCATTTAGTTACTATCAACAAAGCATCTACCAAAAATACAAGAGCAATGGTTATAATCAGAAAAGGTGTACATCCCATCTGAAAGGGTAATATTATAGACAGATATGGTGCTTGTGGGAAGAAAGGTTTGATTTTTCAAAATCGAGGACAAAAATCTAATCTGAAAAATAACTAGAAAATGAGCAACAGTGTCTGACTTTAAGCAATGACCAGTAAATAGCAGTTAAAAATGGAAAGATTTGTAACAGGTGTATTCATTAGGTTTCCTTTAAACATTAAAGGTGGACTTCAGAACAGAAATCAGCACAGGTAAAACCAAAAAGCAGAAAAGATTTTTGGGAGGGGAGAGAATGGAAAGAATAAAAAATTAAAAATAGCAGTACATGCATATTTAGCAAAGTACATGTTGTAAGTTAGCTACTATAATGATTCAACCTTGGTAGTAAAATTCTGCTAACTACATTAAAAATAAAAAAAGAACACATTGTAGTTTGTGTAGGACTTGTGTGGCCTAATCTTAACCATGCTTACTTAGAAGAAAAGACAATGGGGCTTTTCATCCAAGTAGCTACAGTTAAGGTTTGACTAAGTTACATTTGAAGTTGAGTGATGGGGGGGGGAAATGGTGGTTCTCTGGCCCAAATGGCTTAAGTTAGTGGCACTGTGTCCTCTTCACAGGCTCAAGTGTATCTATGTATAATTTGTGGATTGGGACACCCCCATTCCCCTCCACAAGAAACATGTCCCTGTTGTAATGTTTATCATTTTCCCCCAGGGATCCAAGGGTTCACTTGTTTGATTTTGAATCCAAGAAAAAGTGGAATTCTAAACCACACCAGAAAAAGTTAAAAGCTGTCCCTCCCTGAAAAGGCTCCCTAGTCTTTTCAAGTATATATTATATTGAAAGTATATTTGGAATATTCCATTTTCATAAGAGTTCCAGCCAGGTTAACTGGTAGCAAAAGCTTAGGAATTGCTAGCCACAGAGTCACAATTTTCAGTACTGCCTCAGAATGGGATGACTCCTAAGAGAAAGGCAAGCAATCTTGGTCAACAGGTTGCTTTTAAACTTTCCCTCCCTCCCTGGTGACAAAATTATGAAGGAAGCATGCTAAAACCCCATGTCTATGATCTGATGGGTCAAATCCTTACAAAGGTTTTTGGACTTCATGAAATATGCTTTAGAAGTTCAGAACTGCAACCAAATATAGCAAGCTTAAACAGATTAATTTTATATATCTACCCTAAAAGATATCTTTCTATATTTTAAAGCAGGGATCTCCAACCTTGGCCACTTTAAGCCTGGTGGACTTCAATTCCCAGAATTCTGGCAGTTGAAGTCAGCCAAGCTTAAAGTGGCCAAGGTTGGAGATCCCTGTTTTAAAGAATGCAGTCTGAACTCAGAAAAAACATTTTGTTACATTGGTAATTTAAGATTCACTGGATGATGGGTAAAGAAGCATCAGATTACTTCAATGAACTTTCAACATCACAATATGCTAACTCAGCAATTGATGACAATAAACATGACAACATAGGTGGAGTTAAGTGGGCCTTAATTCACTGGGATAAATACTTGACAATCTATACTACACAAAGATCCAGTTCTAGAGGGAATCTAGACCAGGATCCCATAGCAAGGAACTCTCCAAAACAGCTTAAATTCTATATCCATAATCTAAGGATTATGGGAATTGAAGTCCATCTCAAATGGAGGGCACTAAAATGGGGAATACCAGGCAAAAGGGTTACAGAAATAAATGAAAAGGAAAGACCTAGTTTCACAAATACTTGAGAAAACCTTTGGGTCAGTTAATTGCAACATTGCCCTAGAAATCAACCTCAATGAACTGGACATTGGCAACTAATTGCAACCGTTTTGTTTCCAGTAATCCATACAGTTTTTTCACAGATACAAAAAAATTCCTCCCTTTTCATTAAAATTCCATATTCATTAAAATTCCATGGGTGTCAAATTCACATCCTCATGGCAGCATCACGTGACGTATGGGAACTCCCCCCCCCTTCACTAAATCGGGCATGGGCAACATGTGACCCATCTGGCCCGTGGGCCACAAGTTTGACAGCCCTGATCTATCATTACTATTTTAAAATGTCTAAGTTTCACAGGCACAAGCACTAAATTTCCAGCTTTCTAGAAGTGCAAGGGTAGAAAAAAATAGATGCTTCTTTGTATATTTAGATTTTTACTCCCATATTTCTCTAAGATCACAAACAGGCTAAACTTACAATCACTCTTTTTTTTAACCAAATAATCAGCAGTGGTAAACATCTACAGTGACATATTTGAAATGAAACACTCCAGATTTTTAAATTCAGATACAAGGGTTTGAGGGCTACGAATTTAGCATCTTTGAAATCTGAACCCTCCCTCAACTCCAAAGCAATACTTTAGATTTCTGGTTTCACAAGAGGATCTCAATGTCAGAAACTGTTCTTTAAAAACATCGGTTTGAAAGTTGGTCATTTCGGGGTTTCAATTTGAATTAATTTTAACATTACTATTTAAGGCACAGTGTAACCTGTATTAACATTTGATTTTTGATCCCTCAAAATTTTTAGTAACTACTGTAAATACATCTACTAGTTCAGGAAAAGATAGGGAATTTGCATTCTTTTGCCCTCAAATAAAGACAATATGAAAATCTTACCTGTTGTTTTTCAAAGCACAACCCACTGTAGCACAACGCTCCTGCTGTAATTCTAATCCAACCTTTTTCAATCTGGTTCTCTCCCCAGCCATGTGTTAGATTTTAGACCTCCAAATTCCTTAGCCAGTGGACTGGGGCAGGCTATTCTGATCAAAAGAGAAAAGGGTCCCTAGAAGAAAGACACTCATTCTGCAAAAGTAGAACCCCAAATGATATTAATCAGCTCTATCCTAAAACTTAGGCTGGGGAGGAGCCCTTCTAAGCTTAATTCTCTCAAAGAAAGGCTTAATTACAAAACCTTTGTCCAGTTTGAATGACTTCATCATAAAATATTCCTATTTTAGGTCTGCAAACAGGAACCACACCAGGCTGACCTGATTTGGGGAACTGCAGTATAATTAAAACAGTAACTTTTTGCAACAACATATGCAAATCCACTGTTGCTTAAAAAAACCTGCCAAATTATTGCTTTTTTACTGTGGACTTAAGAAGGTCATGTCATCTGGCTCTCATATGGTGGAGCAATGGGCATCACATCAGAGACGTTTTTTAAGAAATGGTCATATAAGTGAAAGCATTAACTTATGCCAGTAAAAGATGCCTTGACCAACTGAGGTGAAAATCAAAATACATTCAGAATTCTAAATATATTGATGGAGAAATGGCTGATTCTTTGGATCCAGAAAGGAGAACAAAATCAGTAATTTTATCCATCTCTTTGGCTCTGAAAAAACACTGGACATTGAACTGCATGTTTTCATTTTCCCTTTTACAGCCCCTAGGGAAGCACTTTGCATTTCGATTGAGTATTTTAAAGCTGCATGATACCTTCTATTGTTTTGGATCAGCAGACAGTAAACAACAAAATCATGCCTCAATTATCTACATGTTTAAAACAATTATCCAGGATAATTTTTATCAAGGGAAATTGAATAACATTTCAAATTTCATTTTCTACTAGCTTGGCTTAAGGCTGCATATTCCAGATCAAAACTAAGTAAAATTTGATCTTCAAACATTGGATTTTGTCATGGGTATAAAATGATCAAATACATATCTCCACAACCATTTTCTAAACTGTTAAAGATACCTGTACCAAATTAAATTTAGGCATCATTTTCAAGATCTGAAACTTCACCCAGGCCAGTACATTTTTATATATCTTTGCTAATATGAACAATTAGGATTTTTTTAAAAAAAAATCAAAATGACTTATATTCAATCCCACGTTCCATGCTTCCATAGAACCACAGTTCAGAACTCTGATATTTTTCTATTACTTGCAAAATGAACTAGTTTACACCTGAGACTCATTAATTTCTGCAACCCAGACAGACCATAAAACCACATGGATTCTGCAGGGCTTCAGAAATGGGGGTTGGACCAGAATGGTTTTTTTAAACCTTAACAATATAGTCAATCAAACCCTGATCCTATTCCCAAAAGCTCCCTCTTCTGAAGCACTGGAAATAGAGTTAGAAAATGAAGATGATAGAAAACTAGGCAGCCTTATCTGCCCCTAAACTGTGAGATACTGTGGCAAATAATCTGTACGTTAACAAATCTGCGTAATTGACTAACATAAGCAAGCAGATCTCTAGCTCTGGAATTAGATGTCAGAACTGGCTAAGATTTAGCTGCTCAGACATTTCTGTTCTTGGTATAGAATCTTGCCTCCATGAATACTGTCAAGCTAAAGTTGACACAAAGGAAGATGTCGAGCTATTCATCCAAGTTCACTTGGGATCCCATTCCAAATTGAAGAGTTAAACAACCTGCATCAGGAAATATTGTGGCGGTGACATGGAAGTCTTTTTGTTTCCCATCCTTCATCCTGGGAAGAGAAGGGCACTTCCTTGTTAGGCCCAGACTAGAGTGCATTTCACAATGGAGAGCTCTTCAAATTAGTTGCTTCAACTGAGGCTAGGATATCACCAGAAAAAGTAGATTTCCCCCAAGTAGATTTCTTTGATGTGTGATTTAAAGTTCTGTCTTATTCTGCTATCATAACAAAGAAATAAAGGCATGAATCTTAAGGCCATTGTAGAAAAATTCAGACCCGGATTCCACATTTAGCGAAAGATATTAGCTGCAAATATTTATGCTGGATCTTCCTTGCAAGAAGTAGAGTCGTACATGTCCCTTCCAAATGCCATCCGATGCTTGACGCTGGAAGTCCATAACCTTGGGATTAATATCTGCTATTATAACTCTAGATATAGGATGCTACCTAGATACCAAGGCTAAAAGAACTGTATTCTAAATGGTACGTTGGGATTTATTTATTTGTTTTGCTTACTGGACAACTGGGTTTTGACGCTTTCTTGTAAAAGAAAGTTGAACATTTAAGATGTTATTTAGGGACTGCAACAGGATGTAATATGAAATATCTTTTTAAAAAAGGAAAAGATTTTATTTTTGTTTTGGGGGAAAGCTTGTAAGATGTTCTCTAAATGTATGGTTCTCAGTAGTACTGCTATCTTTAAACAAGATGATTCTCTTTGTTAACTCTTGAGCGAGTACTTCAGAACACAAAAGACACCAATTTGCCAGTTCTTCACAATTTACCTAGCAGAACAAAAACTTTCTCTTTTCAATGTTTAGAATGTCAACCCAATTAGAATTACTAGTTTTTGCAGCGGAAAAGTGTACTGCTTTGACTATTAAAAAACATCTAATTTTTCCAAAATTTACCTACCAGAAATACTTTTTAAAAATCAAGTTATTCTTAATATTCAAACTCTGTATCACAAACTACTTTAAATAGCAGCTCTTTGTTTTCTAAAATAGAGTCTACTTCCCATATTCCCCATCTACAACTATGATAGTTTTCAAACAAAAATGCTCTCCCACTCTTTAGACTACTCTAGCTATTTCCCCAAAGTTGAAATCAACTCTTTCCTTTGGCTGTTGTCAAGTTCTTGACCACAAGGGACAATCTTTTTCAGGTGCTATCTCCCTTCTGGAAACCATGGATCATTTCCAAAGATCCTCTCTTAGAGCAATGTAAGAAATTTCCCATCTCAATGAGTTTGAGTCAACAGCTGCAGAGCAAAAATAGCCAACTGGTTACAGATAAGATTCCAAAAATTGTCTGAAGCAAACAGTTCAAATCTTTTGATGAGAGTGATCTGTCAGCTAAACTGGGAGAAGGAAGATCAGGACTTCCTACTTTGGGTTCTGGTAGGTGAATAACTCAAGGGAATGGAGCCAGCAGTAGAAATAAAATACCCTGTTTCAGATTTTAAATCTATTTTAACTACCCTTTTATATATTTGCAGAAAATAAGGGAAATAAATTTGTAAAAAATCTGGATAATACCCTCCCTCCCTTTTTAACACAATCCTAATTTTCTTATGCAGTAATTGAAATTGCATACATTCAATTTAGTTATCCTGACTTATTGCCCAATAATCACTCACTAAAGGATCCATGGACACAGCTATCAACATTTATCTTGTGGCAATTAATTTCATATAATTACTCAGCACTCTTAAGAATACTTTTCTGATTTTGGTTTGAAGTGGAATCAGCCATTGTTCCACGAAGTGATTTAATCATGTGCCCTCTGCTGGAGGAAGCAGAAAGGGAAACATTTGGCCTACTGGATACTGATAGCAGAAGACAAATTAAAAATCAAAACACATTTTAGATTACTGAAGTCATCTGAGGTACATGTCATAGAAGTTGTAAGAAACTAGAAAGAAACATGCATTGCAGCTGGAAAACTGGTTTAAAAATTCTTTCCAACAAAATGTTCAGCCTGTTCTATTTCCTCTCCCAAATTATGTGATTTTTAAAAACATTGTACTGCCTGCTCTATATTAACATTCCGCATTTGAAATCTGCTTCAGTATACAACATTTCTAATGAATATACCAAGTTTCCAAAAATCAAGGCTTTCAGATTCTACAAGATCATCTGCAAGGATAGGTGCAATTCAACTTACGACAACCCAAAAGGATAGGGAAATGGGAGAGGAACTTGTGTATACAATGGAGTTTAGCTACACTACTGAAAACGTCGACCCACTGTTTTCAGAAAGTCTTTGAAAAATTTTCCCATTATCACCAGCATAAGAATTGGTAGCAGATTGTGCAAAGCCTGGGGGTGGGCAGGGTGATTTCTAAAAGGCCCGATTCATCCTAGATTGTGTACTGAACTTGTAGGATTCCCATGGAAGAGAAGAATAAAAGATCACCAGCTGAGCAACTGCAATCAACCTCCCCACAACCCCAATGTCACCTTTGAATGACAAGAGCTATAATCCCACCCACCCATCCAGTTTCTGGGTAAGATTGATATCTCTGCAGCCTCATCCCATGACTTCCCCGTTTAGATGGCTATCCACCCCCACATTTTTATAGCCCCAGCTATCTCCAGCCATTTGTTCACAGTCTTGGAATTGTAACAGTAAGTGCTTGTCTGTTTAAGGATAAGAAGTGTTCTGTCTGGTATCAGGAGGCCTGCTTCATCTACTGCCGCAACCTGAGGATAGGACCTAATTGCTGGCAACTGGCGAAGCAGACCTTTAATTCATTAAACGCGTAGCGCTTTGGAACGCAAGTTGTCTCCCGGGAACATTTTTACCCCTTCCGGGCTTGTAGCATTCATATTTATATATAGCTCTATTCTTGTTATATATAAATATAATCTCTCTCTCTCTCTTTCATATATAATAAAAAGCACACGCCAACTGCTATATGCATCTTGTGTATAATTTGCAGTGGTGGTACTACTCTTTCTCTCTTAAAAATCACTGTCTCTCATACACATCCCTTAATTCATACCAACATCACCATCTCTCAAAGCAATACTGCTATTTGGCCTGATGGTGGGGGAGTTGGCAAGAAATTAAACAAGGCAGGCAGGAAAAATCTGCCCCATTTTAAAGTAAAACCTTCCTGGCTTTTTCTTCCTTTAAAAATATCCCCCTTCCCAAAATCCAGAATTCATAATTCTCGCACCCTAAAAAGTCTTCCCCCTATAAAATTAAAAAACAAAAATAAATTCAAATAAACTTAAAAAATTGCCGCCTTTCTGGATCCGATTGGCACAGTGGCAAATTTGAGGGGCAGAATGCAAAAAGGCTGATGTTATCCTCCAAAGCAGGGGCAAGAGTCCCAGCAGGCTGCTTGACCTCACAGTATTATATCTGCTGTAAGTGGAGCAATTTGATTAATTAGCCCAATGTTGTAATGTGAGCTATCAAGACAGCAATCTTCCTGTCCCTGCCCTGCCTAGCTAATAATTCCATTCCAGCACTTGATTGCATTTACATTCTAGCCAGCATGTTGAAGGGCTGAATTTCCCCATCCTATCCTTGGCAGGTCAAAACCTTCTCTCGTCATCCCACCCCACCCCACCCCCCATTTGCCAGCCAATTGGACCCACAGCGGCATCTATTCACTCCTCTTTCTGCAGAGCTGGGAAGGGAAGTTTGTTCTCCGGGCACCGTTCAGAGTCCCCACCCAGCGTCCCGAAAAAGGGGCTTTTGTTATTGCATGAGTCAGTGTCTCTTGCTAAGGCACAAGGTGATGCGGCTGAAGGACATGCTCCAACAGTGGGATCTTCGTTGGCTCTAGAGGGGGGGCCTCCATCTCCATTCAACTGGGACTGGGGTCGGCTGCAGCTGCTGCTGCTGTTGCTGCCGAACTCGGACGTCTTTGCAGTTCCATCAGTCAAGTTCTGTCAAACACAAAGGATAGCTTTAGAGAAAGATCAGGAAGCAGAAGACTCAAAGCCTGCCATAAAAGATTAAAAACACAGCTGAAAGAGCTGAAATCTCCAAATGTCATAGGATTTTGGTTTTTTTCTGAATAGTTTCAGGCAGCTTACAAAATATATACTGTATATATTTCAAGAGATTTACAATCTTGCATTATTTGGGCTGATTATATTTGTTACACATTAACATCAGAGTTCTGCAGAGATTCTTCTTACGGAATCCTGATTGCCCTGGTGTCAGCAATCGCTGTGCAGCTGACCTTTGTTGTATGCATTTGAACATTTTCAAAGGTCATTCCTTCTTTAAGGATCTGCTGCATAGTGGATGAGATGGACAGAACTCAGTATGGATCAATCAGCAAAAGAGGAAAACTCTTTACTTAAAACTACATTAAAATGAATTTCCACAACCCTTAGGGAGACGTACTTGCTTGTTTACTTTCTTGTTTCCTTTGGGAATTTTTCCAGGGCCATCACGGCCACGGCTGCAGAAAAGAAAAAAAAAGAAAAGAAAAGCTGAAACTTCAAGTTCACTGGTAGAAAAGATAGTTTATTTATTTATTGGGTGTACACTGCTTTATCACTCAGGGACTCTTAGCATTTTATGAACAAGATCAAAATAATTAGAACATCCAACAGTATTTAGGATAGTTTAATCTCTTCACTATAAATTTCCTGTGCTAAAAAATACAGCTACTTCTAAAGAGCCTTTCACTCAGGATATATATGAATTGTGGTCAGATAAAGATGCTTTTCACATTAAACAATTTTCAGGAAGCAATTGAAACACAGATAAAAGTTTGTAAAGACCATGGTCCTTTATGTGCACATATGTATTTGTCAGTCTCAGAAGATTGACATTACATATAAACATTAAACATGAACAACTATATTTATTTCATTTGATGTTTTCCTTTCCATTAGTTATCATCCATCAGGTGGGAAACAGAGTCAACTGAAAGTTGAAATTGCCATTTAGCCTACCTTGAACTGTTTCCATCAAATCTGGTCATTATAGGAAAAATGTATCTTTTTAAGAAACAATGCTTTAATTTGCTGTTCTCCTTTCCCATCTCCACTCTTCCTCCTTTTAGCTCTGTTGAAGTAATAATAATCCCAGAGCAAAATATCCAAGCAAGCACTTGTAGCCTGTGGTGAAGATGCCCTAGCACAGGGCTGTCAAACTCACGGCCCACAAGCCGGATGCATCACGTGCTGGCCACACTCCCGCCCGGTTTAGCGACGAGGGGGGAAATCCCGATACGTCACATGACGCCATCGCGATGATGCAAGTTTGACACCCCTGTCCTATCATTTCTACAGGTTATAAGAAACGAAGGGAGAATCTGGCAGCAACTAATCAAAGCCATTCTATCATGCTACTTACCCTTTCCCTGGGCCTCCAACTGATACCACCTGCATGCCAAAGGAGCCCTGTCCCCGAGAAGGTTTGCTCCCAGCCCACTGCCCCACCACCATCCCAGCAATTTCCAATTTGCCTCCTTGCGGTGGGATTGGATGAAGTCCTGGAGAGAAAAAGCATAGTTGGTAAGAGGAAAGATACAAAAGGAAAGGGGGACATCGGATTAACTTTAGCCACGATCTAGGGTTTGTAACTCAAATTTATTGTTGGAAAATACAGGGGAGGGGGAAAGCATGTGCGCACATGTTTTTGTTGGTTAATTGTACATTAGGTTGCATCCTTTCAACATTAAAAATACAACTATGAGCTGGAAGTCACGAGAGAATTAGCATTGAACATTCCCAAGAATTCCATGCCAAGATAGCACTGTACTAAGACTCTTAATATTGGTAGTATAAAGCTCATTGTTTAGAACTTTAACTCTACACTCAAAAAATAGGAATCACATAAATGTGAATTAAGTGTCTAGTAGAAGCATCTAGACCAGGGGTTGCCAACCTTTTGGACCTCAGGGACCACCAAACTCATAATTTTAGATCCCAGGGACCACTAATTGGTTCTGTGGGTGTGGCCTAATTTGTGGGTGTGGCTTGGTGGTCATGTGACTGGCTAGGCATGGCTTGTATGTAAATTATATAAATATTTATATAAATATTGATTTTTTTAATAAAAAAAGAGCAACTTTTACCCAAAAACAGGCAAAGCAGGCAGGCAGATTGAGTTGCTCACAGAATCACAGATTCATTCAGAGATCTATCTATCTGCCACCAGCTAGCTCAGTCTGTCACATAAAATTGGCTTGCAAGCAAACTCACAAAATTAACTCACAACACACCATGGATGTAAATATTGTATTTTTTATAAAAAAAGAGCAACTTTTACCCAAAATCAAACAAAGCAAGCAGATTGAGTTGCTCACAGAATCATTCAGTGCCATTGGCTAGCTGCCATTGGCTAGCTCAGTCTCTCAAATTTGCTTGCCGTGAGTCTGTACTGAATTTGCTTGCAAGCAAACCTTCAGTCCTAAGGGAGGTTCGGCTGTACTTAAAAGCAGAGCCGAAGATCTAAAGACTAGCTAGAAAGCAAGAAATCCAACCATTTCCCGCTTCCTAGCTAATCTAAATCTCCCGCATAGCAGAACAGATGATGGTTGGAAAAGGGAAAAATAAGAAATTTAGCAGGCAAGTTTGCCAGGTAACAAGTGAGTGGGCAGGGAGGGTTGCCGCGGGCCATGTGGGTGGCGCAGCCTTGTGTTTCTGCACAGCCTGGATTAATTGCTCTGGGGGTGAGATTTCTCTGCGGCCCACCAAAATTTTCTCACGGCCCACCGGTTGGTGACTGCTGATCTAGAACATGGTCATTTACCTGTGAAGCCTCTTGTCCTCCCAGGGGCTGCTGGTTGCATTGATCCAATAGTGCGAGGGTAAAGAGGCACTGGATAAAAAGGTGCTGCCATAGAGGGCACAAAGGGTGGAGGTGGGAGAAGAGGTGGAGGAGCCTGGCGATTGAAGTTGATGCCTTCCAGAATACTCTGCCTCATCTTCTCTACTTTAGACACCTGCTCGGTCTGACCAAGACCAAATAGAAACAGAACACACAGATTAGGTATTCAGTAGAATTCTGGGAAAATCTCCATATTCCTATGGTCTTTATCTAATATCCTCCAAAATCAAGGAAGTGCAACTGATGAGAAATCTAAGGGCATGTTCCTTTGGCACAACTTGGGCAAAGTGCCAACAGCAAAAATCATACCACAAATTGACAGTAATTGGGATGATATATCCAGATAATATCAAATACCGCGACTCTCTCGCTTGAAATCAACAGGATTTGAACACGATTCACTTTATTTATTTATTAAATTTATTTGCCGCCCATCTTGCCTTGGGACTGCTCTGGGCAGCCTACAACAATAAAAAAAGATGATAAAAATGTAAAAATAACAATAGTAAAGGAATAAAACAATAAAAATAACGAAAGTAGAGAATATGAAATGAAAAAGATGGGCGGAAGGAAAGCAGGAAGCACGGGGGAAGTGGCGTCGGAAAGTTAAGCCTAGTAACCACCTCCAGTGATGAAACCCCTCACTGGGACACACATACACCCAGGCCAACCAGCAGAGCCAGGTCTTCAGGCTCTTACACCCCAGGGGATAGGAAGCTCCAGAGGGTTGATGCTACTGCAGAGAAGGCTCTTCTTCTGGATCTTGTCAGTCAGAGTTCCTTGACCGACAGGGGCCTCAACAGGCCTTCTCTGCTGGCCAGAGTTAGTTCAATCATCCTATACAATATACTCTCTAAAGCACAAGATAAATAAGATAGCTGGGCTATCAATTTGCTCCAAGGCTTATTCAGGACAGTAAGCCAAGGAGAATGACAGCACTGCACTTTTCCTGCTGTCTTTGTGTGCAGTCTAATAAACACAAAGCGCACATTCAGCTATTGATGAAGGAGACAAAACTGAAAGAAAAAGTTATTTGGAATATCAGCAATTTGTAAAGGTTTTTTTTTTTTTAAATCATTTTATAAAGCAATTTGAGAGCAACATCTCTATCTTTGCTCAAATGGCTTCACTGTTGATTTTTGAGAGAGAAGAACATATAGACAGCATTGGGACCCTCTCTGGCACATCCGAACACCTACGAATGAAAACCGGAAACAACCGCTGCCACAACTTTGTAAGTCAGAAGCAGAAACAACTGCTTGCTACGGGATGCTTACCTGGCCATCACAGAGGTCTATCAGAGGTGCCTTCTCTCGTATAGCTTTGATCAGTTTGCTTTGAAAGAGTTTCCCATCAAAGTAGATCCACGGGCAGCAATGCTCCCAGGGCACAGGCTGCCCACAAGCATCATTGGCAAAGAGGGCCGTGTCCACTCCACTCATAAACAGAGCAGCCAACTGAACTCCTCGGGGATCCAGTTTCTCAATCTGCAAGGAAAGCAACATCCCTTTACTCCTTCTCCTCTTTCTTCTGGCCTTCATGACCGTGAACCAATTGAAGTGTCTTTATAAGGCAGGATACCGTAATACTACTATTTCAGTATTAAAGACAGAATATTAGAGAGGCAGCACAATCCATGCCTCTGTTCCCTAGAATCATAGTGTTAAAACAGAAAAGTATAAACTTCCAGCTGAGTGTCTATTTCACATAAGCAGGTTTGTCTATAATGGCCAACATCCATCCCAGAGACACTAAGTACTTATGTCATACGGAAGACAAACTACAATATACCACAGTGGCTATGGGTTCAACTGCTCACTTGCTCAACTCGTAAGATTTACTGGTGTGAAGTATATTTTACCTCCAGTGAATGTTCAGCCAAGAGGGGGAAGAAAACAGCATTTATTTCAAGAAGATGCCTCCTAAGGCAGAGAGGTCACCACCGTTCAATATTCCCACCCTTTCAGCATCTCCCAGACATCACCCGGGGCCATTTAGTTCCTCTGCACTGAACATGTACTTTGGAAGCACTTTCATTTTAGTACTTCTGCTCTTCTTCTTTAAAACTGGTCTAACTCCTCTTTCTATCCACCTTTAATAAGGCCGCACCCCATTTTGAGAGAGAAAGTGATCTAATACACCTGTTTAGAATATGTACAAGGGATCTTCCAGCATCAAGGAGTCCCTTACAACTTTTATCTTAGAATTAAGGAGTAGGCTTTCTTCCAGGACCAATGGCACAGTACTGACCTTCAAACAGAACTTTTAAGTAAGGCAAGACTGGTGACAGTCAAAGAAAGAAGGGGTCAAGAAACATTTTTACTTCTACTAAAAATGTTACAGCGTTTGTCCTGTAACATCTCAAAATACTGTCCTTAATACAGCTTTCTGGGACTCCTTTAAGCAACCAGGCATCGAATGTAAGCATTCCAGTATCATTTATACAGATTTGTATTTCAGGTCTATGACAAAAAAGTACCCTGCAATATAGGAGATCTAGTGCATCCTAGTACAACCTTTCCCTTGTCCCCCACACCTTAGTTCTCTATGTGCGAGGAGCCATTGTTTACAGACAAGCATTTCATCAAATGATCACACATTTGTGCAAATTCACCTGCTTTTTATCAGAACCACTGAATTAGTAAGATGACGTTTGAAAGGGTAGAACCTGGGAGGGTTGAGATACCAAAGCAGTAAACACAAGTAATGGAAGAAATGAGCAAGGGATGCATGAACAAGCAGCTAACTCTATGCCTATGAAAATGCAAGAGGAATTTACCTTTCATTAACAAGAACAAGACTTGGGCACTCTTCTATTCTCGCCCCCATAGCTCTAACCTCCATCTTCTCTCTTCTTTCCTATTCCCACTGGGGGGACTAATACAGGAGTGATAAATAACACCAACCTTCAATTCTTGAAGCTGATCTGGTTCATATAGCTGAGCAGACACAGCCTGGGCCAAGAAAGCATCCAATTCATGTCTGTGGAGGATCCGGCCTCCAGGCCACTGTATCATGTATCTTGAAAAAAGAATAATTCAAATAAAACCACAAAATACGTTATTAAACAAGAATCAAAATTTAAAAGACTTTTTACTTTGGGATACTGCTGGGCCTTAGAGAAAATTATACCTGTCTTTTTTTTAAATGTTGAAATCTAGAATTTGTAGTTTGACCCCCCCCCCCCAAAAAAAAGCATGAGTAGACAGATGCACTTAGCAAACATTATGAGCTGTAAAGCTAAAGAACTAAATGAAGTTTCACACTTCAGTAGTCACCATTTGCAGAACAAATATCCCAAATGTGTACCTCAGTAAATGGTCTGGATATTATTTGTCATCATGTTTAAAATCAGGAAATGATTCTAGATTGACTTGTAAACTTTGATAGGTTTATCTTCAAGTAACTTACATCAGGAGATCACTAAACTCATAAATATAACAATCAGCTTTCAAATGAAAGCTGATCGTTATATTTATCGGATAGATTTATATCCCAATATTTGCTCAGCATAGTATACCTAGCCCTTCCGCCTTCCATCTTCCCCCCACAACAAAAGGTTGATGAGGTGGGTTTGGCTGAGACACTGTGACTCACTTGAAAGTCACCCATTAAATTTCTGTGGCTCAGGAGGGATTAGAACATGGGTCCTTCCACTGCCAGTTCAACATCTGGACCACTGCATAATGTTTACTCTTTTATATTTTCAGATATTGTCATCTCACTCTTACCAACTACCTCCAATACACAACCAATTCCTGGATTTTTCAATAGGACAGATCTCTCACAGCTCTTCTTCACAGCTATATCCCACTGGTGCCAACCCTAGCACACAATGTTACTTGCCACTCTTTTGACTTATCTCTTCGGATATGCTCCACTCACCGTAATACACAACACATGAGCAGTAGGTGTGTGGGTACATTGGCAGGGTTGAGCATGCCGGGGGTGTCTGATTTCATACAAGCCAGAAATGCTCTCATACGCCGGTTCTTGTCTTCCACTGCTTTGCCCAGCCAGAGCTTCTTGAGGTTGGGACAAGTCCACTCCCGAAAAGCAAGAGCTGAGACCAACTCTGGAGTCTGAGGTGACTTCCCTTTGTACGCTGACCATTCCTTGACGATAACAGGATGAGCTACGTAGGGATGAATACCTGATTAGACTACATTACTTTCCCAGTTCATGTCATAAGGAAACAAAACTCAGATATTTTAGGCCAGGTGTATTTCAATGAATGTACATTTACAGAAAAAACACATTACAAGCTCAAAATGTAAAACAGTGCTATGATTCCATTGTACATTACAACGCAGTAGATAGAAAGAAAAGGCCAAATGGTTGCATTTTGATGGAACTGATTCCCCAAACATGAGAGCACCTCATCCCCTGTCTTATGTTTGAATAACAGAATAATGGAGTTGGAAGGGACCTCGGAGATCTTCTAGTGCAACCCCGCCTCTCAAGCAGGAAACCTTATAAAACGTTAAGCACAAGGAAACCCAAAAGTTAATAGCCATGGCACCAAACAGTAATCCTAGCAATAGTCTTTCAAGTTGGACCAAAACTATCATTCAATTCCATTATTGCAAGTCAGGAAAGATATCATAATTAGACTGAAACCAAAAAAGATATCCACCAGAATCTACCGTACAAGGACACAATTTCTTTATCCGGCATCAAACATGAAAAGCAAAGTATCAGGGACTACTGAATGGTGAGGTCAATGTACATCATTTAGCTGCAAAAGATATTAACTGGGATTGGAAGCCATGAGGCAACACTAAAATTTGAGAGGCTAATTAAAACACACCTGTTGGAAGTGAACAAGGTAATTATAAAATGCTGTATGGTGAGAAAGAGGGAGGGAAAAACATTTTCCTCACTGTTTAAATATTTTGAAGCATGTCTTTATATAAGGATGTACAGTTGATTTATGCCATATAAGAAAGTAATCACAATTGGAGTAAATGGCTCCATAAAAGGGAGAAGACATTATGAAACAAGACTGCCAGGGCATGAATTCCACAGCTATGTTGTAGGATTACAAACCATCACAAAGTGCTGCCTATATAATTATAAACAAGTTGCAGGGAAAAAAACGGTGGCTTGGCACCAGTCCCTGCTTGGGGGATGCCAATCAAAAGAAAATAGATAGAAACAGACAAAATAAGATGAGATTCATGTTCAGCACTAAATAAGTCGGCTAGGAAAGCAAAGCATGTACAATAAATGTAAAGATCAAACATGGTACTACCAAAATATACAGGAGAAGGCAGAACCTGGTCCCTGAGCCATTCATGATAAAATAACTGAAGAGAAGGCAGGTTAGTATCTGGCTCAGAGAGTATGGATGTGCACAAAACAAACAAAAGATCTTTCTGTTTTAAAACAAAGCCGACTTACTTCTTAGAAATGGCTTTTAAAAATCCCCATAGCAAACAACAGCCAACAGCAAGCATACTTTGCGGCTTGCCTGGTCAAAGCATCTCAGAAGGTCTAGCAAAGAAGCAATAGCAACAGATTTATCTCAACCCAATCCTTAAAAACACACAACACACACACCCTTTCTCTCTCCTCTCTCTCTCTCTCTCTGACAATTTGCTTCACAACTCTTACTGCACCTATATAGTGTTATAGGAAAACTACTGAATTAGGAAGTCTTGCCTTCAGAATAGGCTCTGAAAAGTCAACAAATAAAGCAACATAGCACTTCCATTTGGTAACTGGAAAGCCCAACAACATAACAACGCTATTTGAAATGCAGATACTCCATTTTACACATATGCATAGGGCAATCTATTTGAAAAAAGGACAACACATAGGGGCAAGGCTACATTACATCCCACAAACTCCATCATCCCATTTAAACACACTGGAGACTTATCCCAACCCTCAGACAGGCACCACTAGACACTCAACTGACTCCCAGCTCTCATCTTCTCAGCTGCTTTGAGAAAAGGGGAGCAGGAATAGGATCTGTACCTGCAGTCTTATTAACCAAGCAAATCCCACCATGACAAGGTACATCCTTCTGAATTACCTAGCGTAGGTTCTGGGAATCTTGTCTCCCATATTTTTAACGCTAAGCTCTAGAAACAGTGATCAAATTTACAAATTATACTAAAGCATGTCCAGTTTGCTTCATAAGCGGCAAATAAGAATGCACTTAATAAATGGTGGCTAAGAGACATTACTATGATCTAGCACTAAATGAGAACTTAGGAAGTACACACATGTATAAAAGTCTGGAGAAGTTACCTACTTTCCACGGGAATGCGCTTGCGCACAGCCAGGCGTTCCATCCGCCGTTGTGTCTCAGCCACACTGAAGAGGACACCATATACATACTGCCGCGAGGCCCGGAAAAGAACAACTGCAGGCGGCAGTTCAGTGTTACATTCATCTTCAATGCACACAGGGACTTTGATCTCACCCTGGAATGAAATGAGAATCCTGGATCACTGATTCTCAAACAACCTGGATGCACCTAGGACTCCTGCAAGAAAACCAATTCACAGACCCACAAAAGCTCACTGCCCACCTCACCTTGGTAAGGACGTGGTAGATGAAAGGGTACATAAGTCCCCGTCGATGCCTATGTTCAGCCACTCGAAGTACTTCTGGAGCAATAGGAGGCAAAGGCGGGGTGGTTATGTCCATGTGGTTGCGGGTTGCCATAGACAGCAATGAAGGGATGTGGGCTTCAGGTCCGCTCAAGGTCCTTTCTGAGTTGCCAGTGTTCCCAGGTGATTGTCCCCAGCCTTGATTCATTATCTTTTCACCCGCAGGATCCTCCCAGCCAGACTTGCGAGACACAGTTTCAGAAACATGGCTGGAGGAAGAAAAGGAAATACTGTCACCCTAGAATGGGATTAAAATCCAGGAATCTTGTTTCTTCCAATTGTGTGACAGTACAACTATTCAGAAGTCTCTCCTCTCATAGGACAAGGGTAGCATGTCTGAGGCCCGGCTAATTCTCCTCACTTTCCCCCATAAACTATCAAAGTCACCCCAGGGTTTCTGAAGAAAGTCACAAGACTCCAATGAGTTACACTCACTTGGAATTTGCTCCGTTGTGCTCTTCTCCATCAGAAGAGGAAGAGGGTGAAGATCCAGGCCCAGATGATGGGGAAGCTTTGGGACCCAGGTGATGGTTAGGAAACTTGGCGGGACAGTTATCATATGATACCGGCCAGTTGTTGAAGTGACCAGCCTTCAAGGCAGGATCTTCATGGAAGGGCATTGCATCCGCCAGGCCATGAGGTGAGAAGAGAAAACTGGAACCAGGACCCGGAAGAAAAGACGAGGGGGCAGCAATGCCACCATGTGGACCAGGTGGCTGGTACTGCATCTTTGGCCCCATTTGGGGTGCAAACTGGAGATGGGAGCAAAGAGAAGGGGGAAAAAGAATGGCTGCAATCAAAACTACTTATTCAAACCTAGGGAGGAGTGGTAGCCCAATAGCACAGAAACTAAGCAAGAGTGCTAAGACCCTTAGCACTCAGAAGTTTTTGGATTAACTCTCTGGCATTTGTAATTAAAACAGGAACAGAGAGCACACAAGAGAAAAGAATTGTCTGAGGTCCTGAAGAACTGCTGTGAACCATAATAGTTAAGTACTGGACTAGTGAGATCAATGATCTAAATCAAAGACAAAAAAGCCCCCAATATACAGATAGGCCTTGAGTTACAATGGCAATTGGGACCTGAATTTCCATTGCTAAGTGATGTGATTGTAAAGTGTGATCTCGTGTGACCGTATCATTTATCAACAACAATCCAAAACCACTAGAGTGTATGCAGGCAGGTGGGGAGGGGGGGAGACTTATTAGAGCATTATGCAAACATCCCTTCCAGCTTGTAGGAAGTTGGCAGGGAATTTAGCACCATCGTAATTTGAGTGGTCATTAACTGAAGACTATCTGTGGTTCTGAAATTATTCTGTACTAGATATCCTATTACACTTTTTTTTACTCCTGACAACATTTACAAGTATTTAAGTGCTTACCTCCTACCAGAAACAGACAGAAAAAGTACACCCCACCCCCAGGAAAAATATTGAAATTCCACAGTCATATGTTTCAACTATCATGTGCTTATTATACACCAATGCCATATGCACAGCCATGGTATGGTTGGACTGTCACAGGGAACTCTTTGGAAAATGATAGCAAAAGAAGTTATCTACAGATGCACAACAATTCATGAATTTGCTCACTACATTCAGATAATTCAGGTCTCCATAGCTGAGTTATATGCTTGTGCCCCATGAGTGAAGCAAATTGATATAGTAGCATTTTAAATCTTTCTTCAGGTCCAACTGCAAGGGGGATGCAATTTTCCGAATGATTCTTCATATTTGTAGCTTATATGACATAAGCTAGAGGGAACACTTTAACCCAAGCTTCCCCTTGATGCATTAATATCTTCTATGCAGTGGGGCCTTATAAAGGAAAAAAAAGCATTCAGAAATATGATTTTTCCCACATACCAGCTGTCTGAAGGATGCAGGCCAAGTTCAGGTATCTCAATTTGTATAGTTATGCATTCCATCTCCCTGTTGTAGCTTGGGCCTGAGAGGACCAACAGGGCTTTCTCTAACCCAACAAACATTGATATTCTAGATGGATGCAGTAATGGAAATCTCACACTAAAATCTCACGTCTGCCTAAAGCAATTCTGAGCACTTACCATAGCCTTCCCAGAAGGAAGTGATACCATTGGATTGCGATTCAGAGGTGGTGGCCCTCCAAAGTGATTAGGCCCAAATGCCGGGACTGAAACAAAGAATTGGACCCTTGTTATATTAAAAAATAATTGTCCAACATTACTATCAGGATACCCTGAACAAAGACCTCTGCCAATGCAGAAGTCCATTAAATCGGTGTGTAAATAAAAAAAAATACTTCAGACAGAAGTTATGCATGGGAAATCATATCTTCATTGTCTGAAGCATAATCAGTCTTGCATTTTGCATTTTCTGTTTTTTAGAGTTGGTATCCATGGACAACTCTTTATACTTGGGCAACTTTACCCCCAAAAGCCTGAGCTTCAGATTCTTGGGATAGGGTAGAGGATATCTTGAAGTCACAGCGAGTAATAGCAGGATGCAATTCTACTGGCTGTCCCACATGAAACTGAAATTAGAGTGAAGGGTGTTTTGTCCACCATTACCATTTATCCTTGAAGGTCTTAGAAGTGCAGGATTAAAACATTATTTGGGAACTGTTTTAGGAGAGTGGCTCTCACACACGTGACCAAGTTTCCTAGCAAACGATGTCAGAAACAGGACAGAAGCCTGATACAATGGCAACAATATGGACTAAAAAGGCAACTTCCAGTCACTGAATCCAACAGTAAATATCTAAGGGAGCATAAACTAGTGGTTAACCACCAAACCCCTGGTTGATTTTTAATAAGATGACAAAATTCTTTAAGATACTAGGGTCATTATAAAGAATACTGGATCAAGGGGCATTTGGGCCAATTATGTCTTAATTGCTTAAATATATTCTGTGTACAATCTTTTTGCATTGTAAAATTAAACACATAATAATGGACAGTAAGGACAACTATTAAGAATAGGGTACTATGATCTCTGAATGCAGGATCCAGGAGAGGCCCAGTAAGATTACCAGCATCTGGCTTGGAAAGGGGCTTTTGTGCCTTTAAGTAAACCATGAGACAAAGAACAAACAGAACTTCCAACTTGTTATGGCATTATTTTGAAGAAAGCATCCCAGACCTCTTCCAGCCATGTAGTTATTAAAAGGCACGAAAGCTCTCTTTAGGCCAAGAGAAGGTAATTTCAAAGTTAAATCCAGACCTGACCTCTCCCAGCAGAGGATGCTGTAAGGTATCAGGCAGGGCCTCACCTTCTTGGCCAGCGGGAGAAAACACGCTTGACAGAGAGGTGAAGTTGACCAGCGTCGCCTGGATACTCACGAACATACGGGGACTGGCCGGCTGGTGTAGGAGGTGCTTTCATGGCCACTGAATAATATTCTACTGCTTTCTTGAAGCGTTCTATTTTATCTTCAGTCCTGGACTGGGGAGGAATGAGAAAGAAATGATGGAAATGACAGGGAAAAACATGTGTAGCAACAACAGATTTAGCATGGAAATCCGACTATAGTTAGCTATATACTGTACACTACCGCTTCTATTCCTAATGTAATCACAAAATAAGATTTATATTTATTATAGAGCAGAAGGAAAGAACCTCAGGAAACTAGAAACTCATTAGTTTCTATAAAAAGTAAAAACACTGAAGTTGTCTGGCATCACATTGGCTTCTATCTGCTCTCTTTCTCTTTGCAACTTTTATACCATATAAATATTATTAAGCCTGATTCTAGTCTAGACCCATCTCACCTGGGAGTGTTTGAAGACATCTCTCCCTATTATATCCAGGCCAGAGGGACTTTTGATGGCACCAACGTATTCAGATACAGCCTTGATGACTACATCACAGGGTGGAAGGACCAACTGGTGGGCACGTACCTAAAACCAACAAGAAGCATGCAACTAGACAAAAGTTTCAGTGAAGACAAAAGGCAGCACAGTAACAACTCTATAGTCTAAAGACCTGAACTACCATTAGTATAATTAGTGTGAAGAACAGAATAGGAAAATTCCATCTCATCAGTGGATGAGGGCAAAAACGGGATGCATGGAGTCAAAAAACTATTTTTTTTTCTTGTTTTCCTCCTCTAAACCAAGTCTTATAGTCTGGTGCATCTTATAGTCCGAAAAATATGGTACTTTTAGCTCTATTTCTTCCTGAAATCTATTTTTAAGTATTACAGGAATCCTTCCATTTCTTTTCAGAACTGACAATTGTGACACTTCATTTACACATTTCACATAGAAAAAAATAATAATAATCTGGCTCCATTATCATCTCTTGTTGTACTTAAAGCGATCCTTCCATTTCAAAGTTACATTATTTGGGGGAAAACCCATAGTTTTCTTCAGGTAAACACAATATAAGAGCGCAATTGTTTCTTAGAACTGACTGCAAAATTTAGGGGTGTTTTTTCTTACTCCTCCCATTCAGATGATATTTCTGAAAGCCAGAGACAGAATCCAGACAACACTCGACTAGTTCTTTGGGCAATAACTGTAATTCTTTCAATTCCTGCCTTGCTGCCTCTTCAGAAGAGGACAAGGAGGGGTAGGGGTCACCTTAAGTGAAGCAAGCGGGTGGTCCGGTCCAAGAAGACTCCAATGGAAGGCGGCCAGGTCCTCATCTGGAAGAATGTGGTTCCCTGAGGGGGGAAAGGCACAGTAATATACAATCAGCAACAATAGAATTCAACCCTCCCCTTCGCCCAAAATGAAAATAAGCAGAAAATATTATAGAATTTAATGTTTAGCAAATTATATTTTGTAAGAGGAGAAAAATTTTGAACTGTGTATAGTGTATTGAGAATCCCAAATCTGAAACACTGCAAACAGAAAATCTGTACTCTTAATACGGAACTTCGGAGTACAGCAAAGTAATTGAATTATGTTATTGTAGTTGAAGCTGAAACTCTTATTTGATTCAGGCTGGTTAGTTGGTCTCCATAAAATGAGGCTCAATTTGAGATATTTCAGATCACATTCTGCTTTCCAGATAGTGGCAAGAGACTCCTAGTCTCTAGACATATGTAACCCTCCTAGCCGGATTTATTTATTTAATTCCTAGTAATTATTCTAAACATTTTAAATAACAGCAAGAATTTAATGTATACTATATGCACCTAATCCAATAAAAAGATTGGAGTTAAGATCAGGGATTTTGCAAATGGGACATCCTTTTGCCCTTGAGAATATTCCAAGCCAGCTGCGGCCTATTTTTTTATATCTGATGTGGAAAAAAAAGTTATGCTTTTTCACATAACATTAAGAAAAACTAAAAATAAAAAAGCATGACACACACTGAAAAGCTGTGTCTTTGTAGTCACTGTAGCTTTTATAAACTATGGTTACCATGGACTAGGATATAACATGATGTACATAAGGATAACCAGTTTCAATTTACCCAGCAAGGCAGCAAATATAGGAAAACTGCTCAGCTTGAGACCCAGCTGCTTGGCCACCTCTTGCATGAGGAACTGGTTAGTGGTGAGGTTTTTGCCATTCCAGCTCAGCTTCAGGGCATGGGAACTATAGTAGGAGGGGATGTTGCAGAGAGCATATTCCGAGTCATGGGCAATTAGTCCATGAAAGCCATTCTCCCGAAAGAAAGATACGACTTCCTGATGATGGTCCTCCAGGCTCTGGAACACCTGAAAGGAGTAGAAGGACAGGGATGACTAAATTACAAGGGAAAATTTCTTTGCCTTAACTTATAATAAAGTGCTTGCTTTGAGATCATTCACTCATTGATTTTATCTTGTCCTGCTTCCCACCACTCTTCAGAAAATGTAAGATGTGGAACGTGGCATGGAACGCTCCAAAGGCCTTTACAGGAAAACACCTGGGGGGTCATGGAAATATTTCAGTTTTGTGCTACTTTGCAAACCGTGGCTGAAGTGGGGTTCCATATAGTCTCATGTTAATTCAGACCAGCCGTAGTACTAAAAAGAGATGAATTGAAATGGTAGGAGAAAGAAAAGGGAGGTTCTGAGTCAGAATAAGAAAAAGTCAGAGAGCGGGAGATTACTTAAAGTTATGATATTGGGCAATGTGTCTCCATTAAATGAAATTCCCCTGAATTTCAAAAAATATCAACGATTTCACTCCATATTAGAAGCCGTGATCATATTAGACAATAAGTATAAAATTAGATTTTTTTTACATGCTTTTCCCTGTGGATAAGAGAGGAGACCTAGGCACTGTATGACAGAAAAAAAAATCAAACAGGAAACAAAACAGATGTTCCTAGAAACCAAGGGGAATAGGAAATCATGATTATTTATATACTGTGTTTCAAATCAAGGTCTTAAAATAGATTAAGGTATACTTCTGTTAATCGAATAGATTATAAACTCGAACAGATACTGTTCAATTCTTTATGATCAAATAGCATTTTTTTAAAAAGCTGAACAAATTCATGGTGGAAGGTTTTTCCAAATTTTGAGGTAAATTAGACTTCTGCCTTCATCTGAGCCTAGTAAGTTTAAGGAAACCTGCAGTCTTTTTGTTGTTGATATGCTGTCCTGGATGTTGAATAAGTATTGCTATTTTGTGTGTTTAGAACTTTTTGTTTGTAGCAGATTATTTGTATGATGTATATTTGATAGGGTTGAAAATTAGTGCAACCATCAGAAATAAGCAACTGAAACACTGATATACATTATTTTTATGCTACCACCTTTTAGAATTATTCTTTTCTTCCTTAGTTAGTGTACGGGAGATACAGCCATTGAAAATGCCATAACTTTGCCTGTTGTAGCAAAATTATAGTCCTAGCTGAAAAAAGGTAAAATATCAGAATTTCATGAGAATCCTAAGAATGAAACTACAGAAGAACAAAAGACTGTGGATCTTAAAGTCGTTATGGTCATAATAATGCTGAATATTACAGAATAAGGCTATGCTTCAGCTCAAAGTACATAAGCTTTTTCTTTAAGAACTTTAAAAAAGATTTAGAGGAACCAGAGGGGACATTTCTTTCAAAGGTTTTCAATAGTATAACATCTCAGTCACTAGCCTGGCAGGTGTCTAAATTTCACAGTGCATATCTCATTTTCTAGCACTTTATGTTCACACACATTTCTTCCAGCTCCTTTAAAAGTACAACTTTTCCCACTGTCTACCCATCTCACAGCATTGGAAACAAAACAGATCTTAAACTAAAGACAAAAAATTAAGACATAATATGCAAATCCCATGAAAGACTTCCAATTACAGATCTCTACTGTTCAGTACAGATTTGTACTGGTTTGGAATTCCTTAGAAACAAAATTTCAAATAAATAAGTACACATGTAAAGACAAATTTGTAAAAACTCTATTTCCTTCATTCTTCTACACATCTCTAAATACAGAAATCTGAGTCCAAAGAATTACCTCAGAGTCACTTGACGTGAATATACCTAATGGGTATTTTAATTTTCCTTCATTCCTTTTCCATATTCCTCAGTTTGAACAGTAGATGCCATGGTACAGTATAACAATGTGCTTTGAAAGTCCATTCTTTCTCGTACTGGTAGTCCTCAGCTTACAACCATTTGTTTACTGACAGTTTGAAGTTAGAGGCATTGAAAAGTGTGACTTATGACCATTTTTCATATTTATGACCACTGCAGCATCCCCATGATCACGTGATCAGAATTTTGATGCTTGGCAACTGGCATCTATTTCTGATAGTTGCTGTGTGCCAGGGTCATTTGATCATCTTTTTCGACCCTCTGACAACCAAAATCAATGTGGAAGCAAGATTCATTTCACAAATGTGTTACTAAATTAAGAACTGCAATGATTCCCTTAACAACTGTGGTAAGAAGGTCATAAAATGGAGCAAAATTCACTTAACAACTGTCTTGGCAACAGAAAATTTGGGCTCTATTGTGGTTGTAAATTGCGGACTGCTTATACCAAATCTATATCATATGGAGGTTGCTATTAACACAAACCAAGAAATTATTTGTACATGTAGAATTGGTACTCTAGAAAAAAAAACTACAAACCCCTTTACCTGTGAAATATGCTATAACTAACATTAATTATCAGAATCTAAAAGAAATCAGTTCCTTCCCTTCACCAATTCACTAGAAATATATTTGAGTTGAATGTATTTCCTCCTGATTTCAAGTGGAATAAAGCGTGGAATAAACACATTTCAGTAAAAAGTGGTTCAATTAACCAGAATATACCCAATATTTTAAAATGCTTTTCTAAAGATGCTCAAAGTGGCACTGCAAACACGTACATGCAAACAACTGATCATATAATTAGTAACTTATATCTAAGTTCCTTATGTTTCAGGTCAGCTGTTTCTAACGCTTCTTCAACCTCAGCTAATTTCCAGGCCTTTGCTTGCAAATTCACACTTGGCCTCAAGTAAGTTGTATAGATAACTATATGACAGAAACTAATTAGGATGACGTATTCACTGAGAGTATAAGTCAATAATATCTTTCGCACATAAATGATAGGATTTAGTGTGTGTCTGGATTTAATTTGTGAAGACAGTGAAACTCCAACTGCCCATGGGCATGTGATTTTACAGCACTGGTAGTCTTTAAGTTTAAAAAAAAAACTTGCTGGATCAGCCCTTATAAAGGCCTGATAAGATATAAGAACATATAAGACCTAAATATTGCATATACAGCGAGTTTAGGCTTGCCTTTACTTGCTTTGCATCTAAATTTTAAGGTGTGTGTGTATATGCGAGAAACAGGAAAAAATCTGGAATTTTCAAGATTTAACAAACATCCTGACTTCTATGGTACACCTGTTCTCCAGTGATATATTTTGTCATCTTCTAACATTATTGAGTAGTTGAAAAGCAGAAGCAACCTGCTTATGATCATTAACTGAGTTGTGGCTAAGGGGCAAGGATTAGCTGGCTCCCTCTCATACTACACTATGCTCCACCAGATCCCCTAGGCCAGCTCATATTCTATTTCCCCTTTCTCTCTTTTTCTTACAGCACACCTTGGATAACAGCATCTCAGCTCTCTCTTCAATCAAGTCTCTTATTCTTGCGCAGCTTACTAGAAACAATACTCCAGAGCATGTCAGTGACTCTTCCCAATTTACTAAAGATGAGAATTCCAGTCAGAATAGAACAGAACAGAACAGAATACTTTATTGGCCAAGTGTGATTGGACACACAAGGAATTTGTCTTGGTGTAAATACTCTCCGGTTATACTAGAATGTAAAGCAATCTGTCATTCTTGTCGTTCTTTCTTTTTCTTTAGTGTGTTGATGTTATATCCCATTCTGCAGGAAAGGAGCAGGAGCGAAAAGAGGAAACTATGACAATCCAAAAGCTTTCTGACATATAAAATCTCACAAGGCATTGGTTTATGTTTCTGATAGGATTGGCTACAGTACTTTTTATACTGACGGGCTTTTATAAGCAAATCTTTTGCAAGTCCCACCACTACTATGTCTGAGAACAACAGGAACAGCATATATTTGTATGGTGGAGAATAAACCTGCTAAACTTAAGGCAAGCCCATCCCAATTATTCTACAGAAGTGGATTAAAAACCTATTACTTTAACACAGCCACTTAAGAAGTTAAAAAAAAACTTGTCCTTTTAAAAAAAATATTTGTATAGTAAGCTGATCTGAATAATTCAGAAGTGGGCAGAATATAACTTTTTCTAAGGAAGAGGTATAAATAAATTCCCCATACTGTATAGCAAAATATCTGATGAAGCTGTTTACTATAACAATTATTTTACAGCAGAGTTGTATTAAGTCAAAAAGTGTGGATATTAATCCTCATGATTACCAGTTACTGCAGAACATATTTTCCCCACAACGGCATCTTACTGGATCTTATAATTATATGCTATTCTTATTCAAAACATGAATATTTCAAGATTTTCTGACTAAGACAATAAAAATAACTATTTTAATTCAGTTGGAAGAAAAAATTACAAAATTACACACCGATATAAACTAAGATATTTTGCTTTTTTCAAGCCCCTAATTGTTCAGGATATGTTAAAACATATGATGCAGTCTTGCCATTATTTTTGCCCAAAGAGTGAGATATGTATCATTACACAGAAGATTCTTATGCTGAGGTCTGTCCTGCACAGCTTTGAATTCATATATATGCTTATTTCAAATGAATGTAAAATGAACATCAAACACTGCAGCTTCAAAAACATTAACACTCATTCTGAAGGCAGGAATACTCTTTTCCCTTAAAATGAAAGGGCAGATTTGTTATTACCATGTCAAGGAGAAAAGACATTCTATGGCAGGCTTATAATCTAAACATGTGACTCAGAAAGTAATGGTATAAAATTGATAAACAGCTGCTCACGAGTTGCTTGAAAGAATATTATTAGACCCATCACTTGACACACCCACACCTGGAGTCCTTATAAACAGAACAACACTGACATCCCCTAAACTCAGCTGAAGATGTTATCTAGGTCTGGTAACGAAATGTTTGGAAACCAACCCACAAGCTCGGAGAAGGAACCTTCACCCTTAAAAGCAAATTATTTCAGAGTGGCAAAAGGCTGAAATGATAAAAAAATGTGCTTATGGGACAAGATAGCAAAATCAAACTATAGAGATTCATTTAGAAGGCTAAACTCTGAACTTGAAAGGGGATGGACCACATTTAGAGAGATGCAATATTTATTTCTCAT